TTCATCTTTTCCTGGCTTTCTGCTGCTTCCTCAGAACCGTGTTCATCTTGGCATTAGCTCCATTGTGTTCAAATATCTTATTCTGACTTCCTGGGCTTTTGTGTTTCAGGCAAGTTGTTGAAACATCTTTTTTTGTTTTAAAGTTCTTTAAAAATGCCATGTGATTTCACTGATCTTACCAGAAACCAATAAAAACACATTACTTTAAAAATAACTCCCATAAAACCTCTTACTTGTGAAAAGCTTTCATTCTAATAAAATTGGAGCTAACCAAAACCTTTTAAAACTGCTTGCAGGCATACATGAGACTTGGCATGTCCCGATTATACTACCTCTAGTGGTGATGAAGATACCAGATCTCTACTCTGTCTGCAAGGATGTGGGTCCAAGATAAATGAACTCACCTATTTTAAAAAACAAAAATCCAATATGAGAATGGTAACACCTCACAGAAGGCCACTCATTCTGCATTTTGCCAACATAGCCATTGGGAATCTATAACCTTTCCGTCGTGTGTGAGATTGTGGTTGGGGTTTTTTTTTTCCTTTCCCTTTAGTTTCCTAAATATAGAATTAATAGGTTTTAGGGAAAGTCAATGATTGCTCTTTCTTGAGTCTGGAGTCTGGAAAGAAAATATCCCTTTCTCTTCAGGCTTCAAAATTCCCTTTGGGTTGACACCATCACACACTAGTTTCACTTTCAGATAAGACTCACGTCAACAGCTCTGGAATCTGCGGTAAGAAGATGGAAGATGGTGTCAGTGATATAGGGTAAAGAGGTGACCCCCCAGGACATTAGGCTTTGATGAGCTGTACCAAGTTGGCTGCCCCCAAACTTCCCAGTGTTGGAGAATGAAAGTACAGTCTCATGAGCTGCTCTCTGGTCATCTGGCATGGGGTTCCAGAATTTAGATAATTTACTCTTTAAAAGATGCCTAGATGACTCAGATGTGCAATCAGTTTGAGAATCAGAGGTATAAAAACAGAAAATAATAACATAAGATAATTAAATAAAAATGTCCTCTCAAGAGCCAAGAATGAGAAACAGTCGGCTGGTAGGTCAGCATTGCTGGCATCAGCCAGCTCCCAGGTGTGTTCCTGGGACTGTGAGTACCTTGACATGCTCCTCCACAAAACAAGTGAATCTGGGAAAAGCTCCAAGCTGCATTCCCCGTGTGAGAGTCCCAGGTTCTTTAAAGAGTATATGAAATGTACTATGAGGAGGAGGAAAGAAACATGTTTTGGAATGTTTGACAGTATTTCTCAAAGGAACTTGACTGCAGAACTACTTTTATTAAATATCAGTATCTCCAAAAACCTAAGGAACATACTTTAAGAAATGTGTCTATAGAAGATGCACTGAGTAATTCCTCTGAAATAACCCATCCTTGATTGCTGGTAGCATTTTCCAGACATGAGTGGCCTTGACTTTCCAAGCTGCTTTCCTGGGGAAGCACCACATGTCTCATGCCCTCCTGGTCATTGGTGGCAGTGCCAGGCCTGCAAGGGAGGACCAGGCTGCTCTCTTGAGTAACTCCCAAAATGCATCATCTTAAGAATACCTTTCATTCCCTGCAAAGTCCAACCGTTTTTGGATTTCAAGTGGGTGATTACAGGAGGCTTCTCTGTATTCCTTAATAAGACAGAGGTTATGTTATTTTATTTTATTTTTATGGCTGCAGGTGTCAATCAAGGCATTTCAGAAATGCCACTCCAACTCCACTGAATTGTCACTGTGCAGGAAGCCCACACTGCTCTGCTGAAACTGTAAGAACATTCCGAGGTTTCCCCTCCACCTATGCTGATCAGCAGACCGATGGGGACTGAAACATGTGGCTTCTATGTAATTGTACATCCACTTCAAGTTCTCTGCCTAACTGTTAACAATGGTAATAGCAAATGCTCGCAAGCACTGACTATGTGCCAGATGCATCACCTATATCCACTCTAATCCTCACAATGCCCTGCAAGTCAGCCCCCATTTTTGGAAGAAGAAACTGAAGCTCAGAAAAGTTAATTAGCTTGCTCACTTGGTAAGTGATAGAATGAGCTGATTGCCTCTAAAATTGCAGATCTTTTCTTTCAAAAGAAGCCTCAAAAAAAACCATTTTTTCCCTTTCTATGGAGGAGTGTTCTCTCCCATTTTCTCCCTTAAGTCCTTAGGGTTGCATTCTTTTTTTTAATTTGATCTACATCAGAGAGAATGTGAGGGCAAAACCACTTTTTCCCTCTGGGTTTCTTTTTTTCCAGTTACAATTAGGTGATTTACTTTCTAAAGAAGTTCTAGACATAGAAGAGGACTAAGACCACGGCACAAAGCCCAAAGTCCACATACTTTGAATTCTATAAGGCTCTATATTCACAACAGGAAGTGTGTTAGTCTGGTAAGGGCAAGTAGCCAGCAAAAGGGTCAAAAATGTATCTCCATGTCGCTTGGGGCGTGGATGGGGTCTCTTTTTAGGACCTTGCTCTTCTTTTGTTCTCTGTACTCAACCCTGGCCCATCTCCACAACTGGAAAACCCAATATTCTGTATGTTCTCATAAAGTGGTATCTATTCCTAGATCCAGGGTCTTGGCTTCTACTTGGCCCTTTGGGGAAACAGGGTGAAGTCAACCATGGCCAAGAAGGCATCTGGTCTCCCTGCAGGCCACCATTGGTAACAGGAGCGTCTGGAGGGGAAGAGGCACCAGGTGGGGATTAAAGAGCCTTTTGTTGAAAAGAGTAGTGGGCATCCCAGGTTCATTCTCATGAAAAACACAGCCAACTTCAAGGCCAAGTGTTACTGCTCTTTCTGGGCCATCACACCTGCTCTACAGGCTCATCCATACCTGGTAATACAGGTGACAGCTCTGGACCTTGTAAGCTCTTTGAAAGTTAGTACTAGACAGCAGTGTTGCTTCTTTAAAAATAAGTAAATATTTCCCAAACCTCCATTTTTCTCTTACTGGAAAATTATATGGCTTAAAAAAAAATGAACTTTGGTCAATGTTTCTGAGAGTGCGAATGGAAATCAATAGAAAGTGTCACGGCTTCACACTGATATAAAGGAGGGTGGCATCAGCAGCCCTGGTGCTCATGAAGAGAATCAGCTCCTCTGGTTAGAGTTCTTTACAGGAAGTCCTGTTTTGCCTTCCAGGGAAACTTCTGGCTGGATTGCTGCTCTCTGGCAACAGTGACCTCCCTGGTCCTTTCTTGTTGACACATGTCTTTTTTGCCACCCAGAAGCTGGCAACCACTGAGTTGAATCCCTTTGGCTTGTATGTTCTGCCAGCGTCTGGAATCCTGGTACATCTTCTCTAGTTCTTGACTGTCTTGCTAATACAGATTTTGATGGACTTTTTAAAAACAACACTAAATATATTTTGTGCTCTCAAGAAACAGCTTTTCCAACAACTGTATTATTTATTCATTAGGATTACAGTCAGAGTGCAGTGTCTTGAGTTACTTGGAGAAATAAATGAAAGAAAAGCAATATTGCTCTAAATCCCTAATTTACGGGTCTCAGGGAGTCTGGATCAGCTCTGTTGTAAAGCTCTGTCCTGGGCTGGACCAGCAGGCCCCCTTCCACTGTTTATCTGTCTCTTTATCACTCTATCTGCCCAGGATGGGCCAACCTAGTCATTTTGTGGGCTCAACAAATATCTTGATTCATTTTATGAATGTTTTCAGTTCTGCTAAAACTTAAAACACATTTTCCCCAAGCACTTTTTCCTCTTAATTTTTAAACTCGTATATTTTAAGGAAAATTTAGCCCATGTGTTTCTCATTACTCCTGATTCATTTGCACTTAACTCATCAAAATGTTGCTTTACAAAAGCTGTTTGCTTTCCAAGAAGACTCCTGAAGTCCTTTTTTGTGTATTTGGCCTCCTCCACCTCTTTTCTCTCCCTTCCTCTCTTTTTGTTCTTCAAAGGCACCCTTTTCTTAGAAAAGGGAATTTTTGCCCCCAACAGCAGACATGTTGGCCATTGTGGAGGAAGCTGACGCAGGTGTAGGGTCAAGCTTCCAGTCACGTTCTCCATTGCCATCCTTTCAAAGCACTTGCCTCTGGCAGAAATGAACAGTGCTGCAGTGTGGAAAAAGCAGGTTCTATTTTCTTCACTAGATAAATAAATGTTGGGTACCAGAGAAGGGTGATTTTGGATGTAAACTCTGGGGTCAGACATTTTGGGGTTTAATCTCATATTAATCTCTTCGGATATCACTTTTCTCATCTATAAAATGGGGGCGGTAATAGTTCTTACTGCATGCACAGAGTTGTAGATGGGATTCATTGATATACTCTATGCAATGTATATATAGTGTATAGTAACATTTGTTACCTTTCCAGTTTTGTACATAAGGCCCTACCCACCCAGAATCACACATCTTTTCTCTGGGAGATGAGCAGGATCTGTCTTACTTAGGTTACCCCAGAGACAGATCCTGAGACCAGGATTTAAGTATAAGTAATTTGTTTGAGCGGCTATCCTATGAAATTCTCGTGGAAAAGTATATTAATCAGGGTTCTTCAGAGAAACAGAACCAATAGAATATATATACATATATATCCTGGGCAGATAGAGTGATAAAGAGACAGATAAACAAAAGGATATATATATATCTATA